TTTTTTTTTTTTTTTTTTTTATTTTTTTTTTTTTTTTTTTTTTTCTTACCAAACCAATATTTTTTTTTTTTTTTTTTTTTTTTGGTATTCTTATAGAGACGAGGTTTCACCATGTTGTCCAGGCTGGTCTCAAACTCCTGACCTCAAGTGATCCACCCACCTCGGCCTCCCAAAGTGCTGGGATTACAGGCATGAGCCACCGTGCGCGACCTGGATAAGTTATTGACTTGACTCTTCTCTCTTCTTTTCTTCCAGGTAAAAGGCCCAGGCATTGGGCTTTTGGGCATTTCTCTAGGAGCTGATATTTGTCTCGCAATGGCCTCATTCTTGAAGAATGTCTCAGCCACAGTTTCCATCAATGGATCTGGGACAAGTGGGAACAGAGGCATAAACTATAAGCAGATTAGCATTCCGCCATTGGACTATGACCCGAGGAGAATCAAGGTAGCTTTCTCAGGCCTCATGGACATCGTGGATATAAGGAATGACCCTGTAGGAGGATATGAGAACCCCAGCATGATTCCAATAGAGAAGGCCCAGGGGCCCATCCTGTTCATTGTTGGTCAGGATGATCATAACTGGAGGAGTGAGTTGTATGCCCAAACAATCTCTGAACGGTTACAGGCCCATGGAAAGGAAAAACCCCAGATTATCTGTTACCCTGGGACTGGGCATTACATCGAGCCTCCTTACTTCCCCCTGTGCCCAGCCTCCTTTCACACATTAGCGAACAAACATGTGATGTGGGGTGGGGAGCCCAGGGCTCATTCTAAGGCCCAGGTGGATGCCTGGAAGCAAATTCTAGCCTTCTTCTGCAAACACCTGGGAGGTACCCAGAAAACAGCTTTCCCCAAATTGTAATGCATTTGTCTGTTGTTGACATGAGAGAGTCAAGATCAGATTCTAGGGTTCAATAACCCTATGTGAATCAGCTGTCTCCTGTATAACATTAAAGCCATATCTTTGTCATGAATGGTGTGTTTTAGGTAACTTTGTTGAATAAGCTTTGTCATCAGTTTAACTAATGTAAAATACTTGTTGTAGAAGATTCAGAGGTATATGACACAAATAAGTGAAAAATATACCCACCTGTTAAGATTCGTGTTTCATTCTAGGTTTTTTTAGTTAATGCTTTTTTTTTTTTTTTTTTGAGACGGAGTTTCGCTCTTGTTACCCAAGCTGGAGTGCAATGGCGCGATCTCAGCTCACCGCAACCTCCGCCTCCTGAGTTCAGGCAATTCCCCTGCCTCAGCCTCCTGAGTAGCTGGGACTACAGACACGCGCCACCATGCCCAGCTAATTTTTTTGTAGTTTTAGTAGAGACGGGGTTTCACCGTGTTGACCAGGATGGTCTCGATCTCTTGACCTTGTGATCCACCCGCCTCGGCCTCCCAAAGTGCTGGGATTACAGGCTTGAGCCACCGCGCCCGGCCTTAGTTAATGCTTTGAGTCATAGCTGGTGACTTTTTCCATCACTGTGAAAGGATGGTCACCTAATGTTTGCTGTTCAACTGTAACAGGGTAGAATTTTATTTGGCCAAAAACATACAGAGGGTTGTTAATATGAGGAGGAGATGAGACCACCTGTCTCTAAAATGGTTAAGTTTCTACTCTTTTCTAAGGGGAATGACTATGATCTATTTTCCCTCTCACTTCCTGGATCTAAGAACAGACCTTGGGGCTGGGCACAGTGGCTCACACCTATAATCCCAGCACTTTGGGAAGTCAAGGGGGACAGATCGCTTGAGCTCAGGAGTTCATGACCAGCCTATGCAACATGGCAAAACCCAATCTCAACAAAAATTAGCCAAACATGGTGCACATCTGAGGTCCCAGCCACTCGGGACACTGAGGTGGGAGGATTGCTTGAGCCTGGGAAGTCAAGGTTGGTGCAGTGAGCCATGATTGCACCACTGCACTCTAGCCTGGGCAACAGAGTGAGACCTTGACTCAAGAGAAAAAAAAATAGACCTTGGAAAATCATAGTGTGGTAATCTTAGAGGAGTCATTCCTTACTCTCCTTGACATCAACACTACATAGCATTTATTATACTTTTTTTTAGAAAAAAACAAAACAAAACAAAACACTTTATTAACCACGTGTTTTTCTCAAGAGTCTGCAAATGGGACAGGACTCTGTAGGAATGGATCACCATTGTGCGAAGTGACACAGGCTGGGGCAATTTGACTAAGGGGTTGACACTTAGCCCAAGTAATTAGCAAGAAGGCCCAGATGAAAAGCAATTGAGAACCCCCTAAATCATATCACTTCCTGAGTTCCCAACTGACAACCATCACCAACCTCTCTCCCATAAAAGTATAGAGTCTCCAAGTGTGAGCATACCAAGCAAGGCAGAATGGCATGACCTTTGTTCAGCCTTGTCTTGGAAGCTATTATGCATACTGTCACTCTGCCATACTCCATGGAGCAAGGCAGTCAAAGGCTAACCAAAGTTCAAGGAGAACATAGAGTCTGCCTCTTGAAAGGAGAGTGGGCCAGGCCAGTGGCTCGCACCTATAATCCCGGCACTTTAGGAGGCTGAGGCGTATAGATCATGAGGCCAAGAGATCGAGATCATGCTGGCCAACATGGTGAACCCTGTCTCTACTAAAAATACAAAAATTAGCTGGGCATGGTGGCGCATGCCTGTAGTCCCAGCTACTTGGGAGGCTAAGGCAGAAGAATTGCTTGAATCCAGCAGTAAGGGGTTGCAGAGAGCCAAGATCGTGCCACCGCACTGCAGTCTGGTGACAGTAGGAGACTCCATTTCAAAAAAGAAAAAAAAAGGAGAGTAGCAAGGTTCTGGAGGAGAGCATGTGGAATGCGAAATACTGTAACCATCTTTGGAAAATACAATCTGCCTTCTGGCCATATATTCCTCCACATGTATTATATATCCATCCTTCTTCTAAACCCTCTCCCCCTAAAATCTTATTTCATTATAGCATCATATTCAGGGTGAAGGTCCAAGATTTCATCATCTGTATCAGGTTGAGGTATAGATGAGGCTCAGGAGAGTTCCTTGGGTACAGCATCTTGGATATCATTCTTCTCAATCTGAGCAGCTTTGAAACAAACAAGTTAGCTCTCCTCACAGACACATATCCATAATACAATGGTGCGACAAGTGTAAGGTAACTCCTATAGACACTCCTGTTCAAAAATGGGGAAAATGTGGCACACAGCTGTCACTAGCCTGTAGCAACCCTGAAACACACCTGAGAACAGAACCTGCTGCCAATTCCTTCATTAGTGTTCACTTTACTATCTGTGAGTTGTCCTCTGTGGGTTTTGGTTGTACCTCCTGAGTTGAAACCTCTATTTTCCTTATGAAAATGAATTAGCCATTAAATTTAACCTGCTTCCTAGATGGAAAAGGGGACTCCAAACTTCTCTTTCAATTTTGTTGCCTTTTAAGTTCCATTTGCCTTTAAGTTCCAACTCATGGTGGAACTGGAATTGTTCCTCAGCCAGGACAATTTTCTTTTTCTTTTTTTTTTTTTTTTTTTTTTTTTTTTTTTTTTTTTTTTTTTTTTTTATGTTTCACAGAGGAAGCTTTATTTGGGGAGAGTGTGGTTCTGCTCGGCCCTGAACAGTCCTGCTCTGCCCACCCCCACCCCAGCCAGGTGGCTTTACTTCTTCCGGCCCTTCTTCTTCTTCATGTCCTTGGCCAGCTCCCCAATCAGTCTCCAGTACTCATTGAACTTGAGCTCTGAGTCCTGATTTATATGCAAGCTCTTCATCTTCTCATAAAGGGAGCCCACATCCTTGAGCAGATGGGGCAACTGCTGGGTAACCAGCTCCTTAAACTCAGTGGTGTTGAGGCTGCCCTTCTGGCGCTCCTGCTTCACAAAGGTGAAGAAGGTGGTGACCACGGTCTCAATGGCCAGCTCCAGCTCTGTCAGTGGTTCTGCTGCCATTAGGACCCTGAGGCTGAACTGATGTCCTCAGGGGCTGGCTGACCTTTGTCAGGGCTGAGAAGTTTTCAGTCTGAGCGTCCTTCTTGGAGTCCTTTGAGTCTGTTGGCTCCTCTGTGGGGTGTCTGTCTCAAGAGTCCCTTCTTGTCTCACCCAGCCTCACAGGGTCATGAGGTTGTTTGTCTCCAAAACTTGTTTATGTTGGGCCCTGGTCTCCTGAGCCCACATCCGCCCACACACACTCCGCTGCTCTTCCCAGCAGAGAAGCACAGGGTCTGGTAAATGTCCCGCTGTGGTCAGAGCTGGCATTTTCTCTGCCCCACTCCACCCTCACCTCTCCTCAGGGGTAGCAGGGCAGATTGCTGAGCCCAGGACCCCACAGGTCCTCCCCGCTCCTGTCTCCCGGAGACAAGGGTCCTAGAATCCAGAACAATTTTCTTAAAAAGTTTGTGGGAGATTTCTAAAAACCTCAGTGGGTTTCACTCCACTAGACAAAACACACCTCTAGAAATCTGTTTAAGAACTTTTCAGTCAGGCACGGTGGCTCATGCCTGTAATCCCAGTACTTTGTTAGGCCGAGGTAGGCGAATTACAAATTGTTTCTCTTTGGGAGTTTGAGGCCAGCCTGACCAACACGGAGAAACCCGATCTCTACTAAAAATACAAAATTCACCAGGTGTAGTGGCACCGGTTTATAATCCCAGCTACTCAGGAGGCTGAGGCAGGAGAATCCCTTGAAGCTGGGTGGAGGAGTTTGCAGTGAGCCGAGGTCTACTGCTTCCAGGCCCTATCCTCCTGCCTCAGTGTTAGGGACATCTGATCCTTCTAGTAAGGTGAGTAGCATTATAAGATATTTCAAGTTTGTCTACGGCAAAATATCCCTTTCTGGACCAGATAACCACAGCCAAAAGCTCTGGGTCAAGCAACAAGGACAAAGGGTGCCTACGGAGGTAGTGGGCCCCAGACAGGGACAGAGAGACTGGGCTGCTACACCAACTCAGCCCAACCCTTCCCCAGTAGGTATGGAACATCTATGGACCCCAGGAGGGGTGAGGGTGGGGAACTAACCTATCAATCTGCTTTTTCCACAAGGAATTCTCAGCAAAGGCTTGGAAGCATAATGCTAAGCTGTGGCCACTGCAAGTAACCTGAGGAAATGTTGGATCTGCCATTCTGGTCCTCATTCTATCACTGATCAGAGTGATCTGTCAGTGGTAAACTGTGCCAATATTGCTAACACTTTAGTGCACACCAACAGAATCCAAGCCTTGGCTTACTGAGCAAAGATCTGGCACAGAATTCAGTGCTGTCTTAACTTCTTGCTACAGAAGTAGTGGTTGTAACGTTTTAGTGGGCTAGGCCACAGTAGCTGGTTTTGCTACAGAAGTCAATTAAGTTAAAATGAGGCAATTATGGAAGGGAGCCAGAGGTGCCCTGTTTTAACTGACTTCTGTAGCTAAATGTTACAACCACTACAAAACCATAATGGGCTGGTACTGTGATGCTCCATGCTCCTTTGATGACATAGATGAAGTGTCCCAATGGCAACAACAAAAAAGAAGGACTGGTGTTGTTTTAGTCCGTTCTCACACTGCTAATAAAGACATCCAAGACTGAGTAAAGGAAAGAGGTTTAATTCACTTTCATAAAGGAAAGAGGTTTAATTCACTCATAGTTCAGCATGGCTGGGGAAGCCTCTGGAAACTTACAGTCATGGTGGAAGGGGAAGCAAACATGTTTTTCTTCACATGGTGTAGGGGATTGATCAGAGTGGTGGGAAAAATTATAGGGAAAGGACACAAACTTTCTGAAAGGTCAGAAGGTTCTACAGAGCCCCGGAGGAGAAAAGCTGAAGGCAGCTGTTTTATAACCCTGAGGCAGAGGGCAAGGAGTAGGTACAAGGGGGTGTGGAGGAATTTATTTTAAACAGGCTTGTTTACTTATGTGGATCAGGAATTGACCTTTGATCATCCGTGCATGATGTTCCCTGAAAGAGGGTTAATAAATGTTAAATACCTACAGGTTGTGATGTCTCCAGGTTTTCAACATTGTGCCTGCACTGAATAAAAGCAATCGCTCCAGTTTCTCGGGGCTTTCTGGCCACTAGAGACAGGCAGTCACTTAGCTGCTCTTACACAGCATACACATGTCTAAGTACTCATTTCATCCATTGGCCAGGGTCTGTGGGACAGACCCAGCAACATGGCATCAGCAAGAAGTGCCAAGCAAAAGTGGGGAAAGTCCCTGATGAAACCATCAGATCGTGTGACAATTCACTCACTGTCATGAGAACAGCATGAGGGTAATCACCCCCTTGAATCAATTCTTCCCACTGGGTCCTTCTCATGACACATGGGGATTATGGGAACAACAATTCAAGATGAGATTTGAGTGGGGACACAGCCAAACTATCTCATTCTGCCCCAGCCCCTCCCAAATCTCGTATCCTCACATTTCAAAACACAAGCATGCCCTGCCAACAGTTCCCCAAGGTCTTACCTCATCCTAGCATTAACTCAAAAGTCCAAGCCCAAAGTTTCCTCTGAGACAAGTCCCTTCTGCATATGAGCCTGCAAAATCAAAAACAAGTTAGTTACTTCCTTGATACAATGGGGGTATAGGCATTGAGCAAATACACTTGCTCCAAATGAGAGAAATTGGCCAAAACTAAGGGGCCACAGGTCCCATGCAAGTCTGAAATCCGTTAGGGCAGTCATTAAACCTTAAAGCTCCCAAACGATCTTTGAATCCATGTCTCACATCCAAGTCATGCTGATGCAAGAGGTGGGCTCCTATGACCTTGGGCAGCTCTGCCCCTGTGGCTTTGCAGGGTACAGACACCCTCCTGGCTGCTTTCATGGGATACACAGTGCATCCTGTTGGTGGATCTACCATTCTGGGGTCTGCAGAATGGTGGCCCTCTTCTCACAGCTGCACTAGGCAGTGCCCCAGCAGGGACTCTGTGTAGTGGCTCCAACCCCCCCATTTCTCTTCTGCACTGCCCTAGCAGAGGTTCTTCACAAGGATCCCACCCTTGCAGTTGACTTCTGCTTGGACATCCAGGCATTTCCATACATTCTCTGAAATCTAGGCAGAGGTTCCCAAACCTCAATTCTTGTATTCTGCACATCCACAGGCCCAACACCACAGGGAACCCGCCAAGGCTTGAGGCTTGCACTCTCTAAAAAAATAGCTTGGGCCAGGCCCTGGGGCTCATGTCTGTAATCCCAGAACTTTAAGAGGCTGAGGAAGGGAGATCATGAGGTCAGTAGCTCAGGACCAGCCTGGCCAACATAGTGAAACCCCATTTCTACTAAACACACAAAAATTAGCCAAGCATTCTGGCACACACCTATAGTCTGAGCTTCTCAGGAACTGAGGCAGCAGAATCGTATGTTCCTGGGAGGGGGAGGTTGTGGTGAGCTGAGATCGGTGCCACTGCACTCCAGCCTGGGCAACAAAGCAAGACATCACCTAAAAAACAAAACAACGAAATGGCCTGAACTGTACCTTGGCCCCTTTTAGCCACTGCTGATGTGGCTGGGACACAGGGTACAAAGTCACAAGGCTGTATACCGCAAGGAGGGCCCTGGACCTAGCCCAAGAAATCATTTTTCCCTTTTAGGCCTCCAGGCCTGTGATGAAAGGTGCTGCCATGAAGGTCTGTGATGTGCCCTGGAAACATTTTATGCATTGTCTTGGTGATTATCATTAGGCTCCTTGTTATTTATGCAAATTTCTGCAGCTGGCTTGAATTTCTCCCCAGAAAATGAGGTTTTCTTCACTCTTTTTTTCTTTTCTTTCTTTTTTTTGGAGATGGAGTTTAGCTCTTGTCACCCTGACTTCAGTGTAGTGACGTGATCTCAGCTCACTGCAACCTCTGCCTCCCAGGTTTAAGCAATTCTCCTGCTTCATCCTCCCAAGTAGCTGGGATTATAGGTGTGCACAACCACACACAGCTAATTTTTGTATTATTAGTAGAGACGGGGTTTCACCATGTTGGCCAGGCTGGTCTCAAACTCCTGAGCTCAGGTGATCCACCGCATTGGCCTCCCAAAGTGCTGGGATTACAGGCATGAGCCACTGCACCCAGCAGGGTTTTCTTTGCTGTGGCATAGTCAGCCTGTACATTTTCCGAATTTTTATGCTCTGCTTCCTCTTGAACTCTTTGCCTCTTAGATATTTCTTCTGCCAGATACACTAAATCATCTCTCTCAAGTTCAAAGTTTCACGGATTTCTGGGGCAGGGGCAAAATGCCACTAGTCTCTTTGCACAGCAAGAGTAACTTTTACTCCAGTTCCCAAGAAGTTCCCCATCTCCATCTGAGACCACCTCAGCCTGGACTTCATTGTTCATATCACTATCAGCATTTTGGTCAAAGCCATTTAATGAGTCTCTAGGAACTTTCAAACTTTCCCACATCTTTCTGTCTTCTGAGCCCTCCAAGTCTCTGGGAAGTTCTAAATAATCCCACACTTTTCTGCCTTCTTCTGAACCCTCCAAATGGTGCCAACAGAGGTTCCAGGCTTTGGAACTGCTATCCAGTTCCAAAGTCGCTCTCACATTTTTGGGTACCTTTACAGCAGTGCAACACTCTCTGCAGTACCAATTTATTGTATTAGTCCATTCTCACGCTGCTAGTAAAGACATACCTGAGATGGGGTAATTTACAAAGGAAAGAGTTATAATTGACTCACAGTTCAGCTTGGATGAGGAAGCCTCAGGAAACTTACAATCATGGCGGAAGGGGAAGCAAACATGTTCTTCCTCACATAGCAGCAACAAAAAGTGCTGAACAAAAGGGACAAAGCCCCTTATATAACCATCAGATCTCATGAGAACTCACTATCATGAGAACATGAGGCTAACCACCCCCATGATTCAATTTCCTCACACCAAGTTCCTCTTGGACATATGGGATTATGGGAACTACAATTCAAGATAAGATTTGGGTGGAGACATAGCCAAACCATATCAGGTGTAATGCTAGCCCTCTGTGTACAGGTTTTGTGAACAATATTGATTGTATGGGGGAGAGTGAGCTTATGTCACTATTCCATCAATGACAATTGCCTGGTGAATACCAATCCTCCATAGCCATGACTGGATCACTGAATAAAATGATGCAGTGTGCATCTGAAAACTGCCTCTTCCTCTGTGGGTGATCTGGGAGTGAGCCAAACATGGGGTGGACAATGTCATACCTGGAAAGCTGGCAGATCATGGAATCCTGGACATTGGACATGCTTGGCGGTGCTCCTGCATATCACCCCTGGGAACAAGACACATTATTGGTCCAGCAGCCTAAAAGTATGCACCATGCTTATTAGGAAGCTGCCAGGTAGTGGCTGACTCTGGGTTTCGATCCTCTATGAGATTTCTGGTACCGGGCATAGGAGTCAGTGCTCATGAAAAAAATGATATTGTTGCTTCCAGTGCCACTACCTTGGCAGCCCAGAGACACCCTTCAAATCCTTAGGAAGGTTGTTTTAAATGACAGGGAGGAGTGCGTGCCACTGCCAACAACTCCTGTTGTACCTGGATAATATCTCAGGCATGGATGAGACACAGATAGAGGAGATCTGAAAGCAGGCCTGCTGATCACAGTCAGAGTGGCTACCTAAAGAATCTTTCTGGCCAGACTGGGTGGCTCACACCTGTAATCCCAGCACTTTGGGAGGCTGTGGCAAGCAGATCACCTGAAGTTAGCAGTTAGAGACCATCCTGACCAATATGGTGAAACCCATCTCTACTAAAAATATAAAAATTAGCTGGGCATAGTGGTGGGGGCAGGTAATCCCAGCTCCTCAGTAGGCTGAGGCAGGAGAACCGCTTGAACCCAGGAGGTGGATGTTGCACTGAGCAGAGATCACACTGCTGCATTCCAGCCTGGGCGACAGAGTGAGACTCCATCTCAAAAAAAAAAAAAAAAAAGCAATCTTTCTTGGACCTCTTTAGCAACTTCTTACCTGGATCACTAGGACTTGGGGGAAGGCCACAGCTACAAGCAAGCCTGATCATCCTGCTTATCATAGTAGCCTCCTGGATCTAGTGAAATGTATACTGATGGCTTAATAATATTGCACTGAGATTGTGTCAGTCAAGGTGTCACTTCTTCTTTTTTTTTTGAGACAGAGTCTCACTCTGTCACCCAGGCTGGAGTGTAGTGGCACGATCTGGGCTCACTGCAACCGCCACCTCCTGGGTTTAGGTGGTTCTCCTCCCTCAGCCTCCTAAGTAGCTGCGATTACAGGCGTGCACCACCACATTCAGCTAATTTTTGTATTTTTAGTAGAGACAGGTGTGGCCAGGATGGTCTCAAACACCTGATCCCAAGTGATCCTCCCACCTCAGGCTCCCAATGCCCTGGAATTACAGGTGTAAGCCACCGTGCCTGGCCAAAGTGCCACATTAATATGATCAGACTTCTGCCTCCAGATCCTGGGAGTCTGGAGGGCCTATGAAATGTATTAGGTTTGCTAAGGGAGATACCTGGATTGGGGACAGACTGCAGGGCAGTTCTCTGGTTCGCTTTGGACTGACTCAGCTCTCCCCTCTTTCTCACTAGTAGTTCTCAAGAATAACCATAGAATGTGATGGAAATGTAACATCCCAAGATAGGGATGGATGACTGGAATGGCCCTGGCTCTATCCTAGTCCCTCCCTACAAACAGGATGTCTTCCAATGTTTTAGCTCAGCAGTCACATGACCCACCCCAGATTACAAAACTCAGGGCAGCTGCAGTGCAAGTGGGCACATGCACATGAGACTCCATCACCCCGCAGCATTCCTGATCCCTGGAGGACTGGTTTGCAATGATTCTTAGGCTTCTGTCATCCTTTGCTGCCTATCTGTAAGTAATAAATCCAGTTAATGTACATTGCTGTATTAAATATGTGAATCTGTTTTGTCTCACTGGACTCAAACAAGTTGGTAACCAGCACACAGTGAACTTGTTTCATATAGTCTAATACCTTTTTGTTCAGTTTATACATGTTTATTGAGCTGGGTGTCACTATATGCTCTTCTCCCTTCTCTACCCTGCTATGTTCCCAGCTAGGCTGAGCCGTTTGGGTTTGGCCAAAAAGAGGCATTAGAAAGATACTGAAAAACAGGAGAGTCAAGGAATTTATAGTCTCCTCCTTCCTGCCACAAACCAAACCCTCTAGAAAAGCTACAATTCCTACCAGACTGCCCCCTTCCCTTGAACCTTCAGACTCAGGGTTCTACACCAAATCTTGTTTCATTGTCTCTGTTTTTAAACCTTGTCCATGCCTTTGTAGATAGTACCTTTATAAAACTCTCCTCAATTACATAGGCTGAGAGAGCCACTTACTTACTGTTAGAACTCTGTATGCATACAATCCAAAAGGGACTCTAACACTGATTAGATTTGTGAGTTGAAAAACGAAACAAAATTTTCACTGGGTACTAACCCTATACGTGTGCCAGTGTAGTGTTTTTACACGTTAGCCCATTTAATGGTCACAATAAGCCTGTTCAGACAAGAAAACTGAATTTAGGCTGCACACGGTGGCCCACGCCTGTAACCCCAACACTTTGGGAGGCTGAGGTGGGAGGATTACCTGAGGTCAAGGGTTCAAGGCCAGGCTGGCCAACATGGTGAAACCTCATCTCTACTAAAA